TTCAGTTTACAAAAGACTACTGTTTCTCTAAAATTAAAATTTATTATAATTCTCTTGATGGTCCTTGAATGGACTTTGAAAATGGAAGATTATTTAAAAATAAAAACCATTACGAAGGCCTGAATGATCGTTTTCCTAAACCATTGCTCAGTTGGGAAGACATATCTTCAAATCAAGCATGTTCCGTTGAATAATCTGGACATTATGAATATTTATTTTTTAAATCTTAATTCTCTGATCAAATGTTGACATTAAATTCATTGGAAGGTTGGACTAAACGGATTTGAAAACGGAGAGCAGGGTTCGTATTCCAGCCATTTTTACATGCTAATCATTTTTCTTCCCATCTATGGAAACCAGGTTCTATAGCCCAGATGGCAATGGTCTACTGCAGAAAGAAATGGTAACCTACTGTTGGAAAAAAAAATCAGCCATATCGAAAGATTGAGGCGTGTTTCATCAAACCTGGCACATAACATATTGTCTGAAAATAACACACACACACACACACACACACACACAATATATTTATAATTATCAGAATATTTTTGAAATCGGTCGCACAATATTTTTTTTTTATTGTAACAGCAAAATTGTCCAATTGTTGGATTAAACTTTGAACCGTTGTATTAGAAATGATTTTCCGTTGATTTTTATAACTGTGACGTCGTCCCCCCTGGTCGCAGCGTTTTTTCGTTCGATCCCGTTCGCGGCGCCAGCTGTTCGCTCCTCGCTGCTCCAAGTGTGACGTTCTAACCCTTTGGTTAGATGAATACCAGCCTCGTCGTTCCCAACCCGCTTCCAACGCCTGGTTACCAGGGTAACTGCACTGATCTCCGGTCTGCCTACCCACGTTGTGATTAGATCTTAGACAGACGGGATCAAACAGGGATTGGGCCGTATGCAAGCTGAGTCCAACGGGGGGTGATAACAAAAAAAAAAAAAAAACTCACAAGGTCAAAAATTATTGAAGAAAAAAAGGTAACAACTTTTTATATCTAATTGTTCGTTACACAAGATTATTCCTACCTCCCGACCCGTTCTGTGGACTGTGGCACCACGCTTACCCAACAACTTTAAGGCTTGAGTTGCCTGCTCTCTAGAAATTTGCATTTCGGGGTGTGGTTTGGTTTCAACACTGGGCGCTGATCTCTACCTGTCGTTCACGGCTGATTCTCTCGCCGTCCGTGGCGCAAACTCTCTCTTCGGCTTCGTTTCACGGAATTATTTATTCAATCTCTCTCGCCGTCCGTTTGCAACTTCAGTCTTGAATTATTGGTTTCAATTCATCTCCGCCGTCAGTGAATTGAATCTTCGGCTTCTTCGGCTAATCCTTCTTCTTCGGCGAATTCCGCGCTGAATTTCCCTTCCGAGGCGCAACATTCTCTCGCCATCCGTGGCTGCAACTCTTCTGTCTCTCTTCGAGTCTTGTTCACTCAATCTCCGCCGTCAGTGCGCGAATTAAATTTTCTTCTCTTCGGCTTCGGTTGGACGAGCTTATTCACTTCGGCTTGGGTTGGACGAACTTCTCTTCTTAGGCCAAACGGACCGGCCTTTCTTGCCCGCAAAGGGGGCGAATGAACCGGGCCCGCCGTCCGCGCTCAAACTCCCTCGCCGTCCGCGGCGCAACTCTCTGATTTCTGTCGGTTGGGGTCCCGCTTTTATTGATGCAGTCAAAAACTGGGGTGGGTCTGTCGGCGCCAGGTTTTTTTGATAATTCTAAATACGTATCCATTCTTATTTCTGATTAGGGATTTTCCATTTTCGGTAACTTACTTTCCTCCTACTCCCTTACTGTGCCTCTGGGGGGCGTATACCCGCTTCCCTGGTCCTTCGTATGTCAGGTGACCGCTCTCGACCAATGGGGTCCTGGTCGGGCATCTTTCCTCCTCCCTCGCACATCATGTGACCGCTCTCGGCCAATGGGGTCCTGGTCGGGTGTCTCTCCTCCTCCCTCATGTATCATGTGACCGCCTTCGGCCAATGAGACTCTGGTCGGTATCTTTTCCTCCTTCCTTCGTGACGTCTTTAATCGGGCGTGGACAATCCGTGGCTTTGTTCTGGGGAAGAAACACCTTGCTTAAAAAAAACAAAAATTTAAATTGCCCTTTTCGTACGTGACCGAAATGACGCTCTCGGTTTCTTTTACACGCGGTATTTGTCAAACAGTTTATCGCTAATTGGATACGATCTAAGAAAGGGATTTTTCTCAGACTGGGTGGCGTTTTTCGTGAACTAAAAAATAAAAATATTTTTTTTTTTATTTTCGCGACAAAGGCCTGATAATAAAAAAATTTTTCATTATCTCAAAAAACTTAATTTTCAAAAAAAAAGCATTTTCAACATCATTCTTGTGTGGCTTTATTTTCAATTCTGGAATGGTCTGGGTTTTCGTATTAATGGTTTGCCTGCATATCCTTAGATAAACTTCCCACCTGTTACCTATCATATTTTTTTCCATTGTCTCTAAACTTTATTTCTTCAACCAAATTGATAACAAACTTCCATTTTTCGTGGACACGGAAGTAGGTCAGGTGCTCGACCGGGATACCTTCCAACATCTGTTATGTATCAATCGAGTGTGTGTGTGTTCGCTTAAGACCTGGTTTTCGTATTATTTTTTTCTTTCTTTTTTTTCTTCTTCTTCTTTCTTTCTTTCTCCCAGATCGCTTGAATGCAATTAAAGAATTATTCTCAAAACCCAAATATTTTTCAGCTCTAAATAATTATCAAATGGTTGACAAACCGTAAAAAAAACAAATCATATATTTATGAATATTTCTTTTCAGTTTGCCAACTTATGCATGGTGCCACAATTTATCAATAACTCTACTTTGAACAATAAGAATGAATTTAGTTCTAAGTTGAAATGAAAAAATTTTGTATTGACTTCCTGATCCAAGTTTTTCTTACAAAATCCATCTTTTTAAAACTTATTCATTAATCTCTCAATGGTCATTTGAAATGTTTGGAATCCTCTCACCATTGCTCAATTAGGAAAGATATTCATGCCGGACACAAAATGATGTTAACCTGTAATTTTTTTTAAGCTGAAGGACTCAAAGGGTTTTTTTGATTTCTTACAGCAAATGGTATTCAAAGATGGTTAATAGTCTTATCTGAATATCAGGAAAAAAGAAACTCAATTATTTCACTGATTTTTTTTGAGATATTAAACATTTTGATAGTTTATTTTGGACAATTTTTGCTGTTTCATTGTAAAATATATATATATATATATATATATATATATATATATAGAGAGATATTGAGAAGAGAAAATTCTTTCTTTATCAAAAATTATTTTTAAAATCAACAGACTCTATTTTAAATCATTAAAAAAAATTTTTAAAACTACACAATTGTTTATTTATATATATATATATATATATATAAAAATATATATATATATATTTATATATATATATCGAGAAGTATAGCTATTTATTTATAAAAAGAGGTTGTTTATTTTATCTACCAGCCTTTTTTAAAAACTTTTATGAACGTCCAATAGACATAACGACAGCTGCTGGATTATTTTCTTTCTTTCTTTTTTAAATAAAGGGTTTCATTTTATTTATTTATTTATTTTTATGTTTTGTTATTCTTTTAGAGAGATGGATATAAGAAATTTTTCATTGTTTTTTTTTTTTTTTCTATTTTTTTATAATTTAATAAATTTTTTTGGAAAATTTCTTTCTTAATCGTTTAATGAATAGGAGTTTATATTGTTTTCTTACTTTCTTTCTTTCTTTACTGGAGATTTTTTTTTTTTTTTTCTTTTCTAAATTTTTGACTTCACTCATTCATTCAATCATTCATTATTTCCCTTCTTTTTTTTTTTATTTTGACACTCTTTCTTTCTAAAAATCTTTCTTTCTTTCTATCGAAAACTTTATTTATATGTGGAGGAACAAATTTTCTCCTTGCCGTCTGTTTCTTTAAACAATTTCTTTCTTTTTTTCTTTCTTTCATTTGCCCCTTTTATCCTCCCAATGAGGTTTCTCCAATGCAAGATGTTCTTTCTTTCTTTCTTTTTTTTTTTCTTTCTTAAGATATTTCTTTCTTTCTTTCTTTTTTCTTTCTTTCTTTCTATAGGTTTCACCATGCCGTCTGTTCTTTCTTTCTTCCTTTCTAACCATTTTCATAATATTTCTCCATGCCGTCTGTTCTTTCTTTCTTAATTTCTTTCTTTCTTTCTTTCTTTTGAACATTTCTTTTCGCAAGTTTGATGGGGAGCATCCATTTTTAGTCTTATTTAACGAATTTTTTTTCTTCCATTTCTTTCTTTTTTTCTTTCTTTATATAAGGATTTCTTTCATTCTTTCATTCGTTTAATTATTGATCCATGCGGTATGTCAAAGAATTTCTTTCTTTCTTTTTTTTTTTTCTTTTCTTTTCTTTCTTTCTTTCTCCTATTTTTCTCCATGTATTGAAATTTTAATTTTTTTTTTTTTAAATTTGAGATTTCTTTCGACAAGTTTCTTTCTTAAAAGAGATTTTCTTGCCATATCTTCTTTCTTTCTTTTTTTCTTTCTTTCTTTCTTTCTTTCTTTTCAAAATTAAATTTGTGCTTTATAAAGTTTCTCCAAAACTTTCTGCTTTCTTTCTTTCTTTCTTTCTTTCTTATAAATTTTTTCTTTCATTTCTTTACATTTTCCATCTCCATGTCCACATAGAGAAAAGGAAGAGAAAATTTCTTTCTTTCTTTCTTTATTTCTTTTCTTTATTTCTTGGGATTTCTCCATATTTTTCTAAATTAAATCTGTTTCTTTTTTTCTTTCTTTCTTTCTTTCTTTCTTTCTAAAACGGTTTTCGGTCATGCCGTCTACAAAAAATAACAACTTTCTGGAGAGTTTCTTTCTTTCTTTCTTTTTTTTAAAAATTAAGTCCATTGTTCTGTTTTTTGGTTGAGAACTTTTAATTGAACAATTTCTTTTTTTTCTATAAAAACGAATGACCTTTATTTTCAAATTCTAACATTTCCAAAGTTTTTAGGGATGCCATTTCTGTTCATTTTCTTTCTTTCTTTTCTTTATTTCTCCAGAAAGTTTCTCCATGCCGTCTGTTATATTTCTAATTTCTTTTCTTTTTATTTATTTTTTATTTCTTTCTTTTTTTTTTTTTCCATGTTAAAAAGATGTATAAGTTTTTTTTTCTATATTTTCTTTTAATTTTCTTTTTTTCTTTCTTTCTTTTCTTTTCTTTAAATTTATTACATTTAAGATGATATTTCTTCATATATATATATATTATTTATTTATTTTTAATTTTTCCCAAATGATTCTTTTTTTGATTTTCTCCATGCCGTCTGTTCTTTCTATTCTTTCTTTACTTTTTTTCTTTTTTTCTTTTTTTTATTTTTCTTCTTTTCTCCTATTGTTTTCCAAAAGTTTGTTCTTTCTTTCTATATATTTATATTTATTTATTTATTTCTTATTTTATTTCTTTCTTTTCTTATTTAAATTTTTCTTTTTTTTTTTATATATATATATATTTATTTATATATGATTTTCTCCATTCTGTCTGTTCTTTCTTTTTTCGTTTTCTTTTAATTATTTTCTTTCTTTCTTACATTTCTTTCTTTTTATTTAATTTCTTTAAAATTTTAATCGTTGATTTCTTTAATTTTCTTTGATGGATTTCTTTTTTTCTTTCTTTTAACCATTTCTATATTTTCTCCTATATTTATATATTTATATGTCCATTCTTTGTTTGTTTCTTTCTTTCTTTCTTTCTTTCTTTCTTTTTTTTTATAGGGAAAATTGAAGTTTCTCCATGTGGTCTAAAATTACAAATTGATTTTCTCCTTGAATTTTCTTTCTTTCTTTAAATGCTTTCTTTGTTTCTTTTTTTCCTAGGGAAAGTACAAAAAGAAAAATCTAATTCTTTGAATTTCTTTCTAAAATTTTCTTTACTTTCTTTCTTTCTTTCTTTCTTAGAAAAAAATTTCTCCAGAAACCTGTCTGTTCTTTCTTTTGTTTTCTTAATTTCTTTCTTTTTCTTTTCTTTCTTTTTTTCTCCTATTCAGATTTCTCCATATATAAAGTGTTTCTTTCTTTTTTGACAAAACATTTTTTTCTTTCTTTCAAACTTTTTTTTCGAACAATGAATTTTCCAAATAAGAATAAAAATTTCTTTCTTTTTTTACAAATGGAAAGTTTTTTAAATTTTATTTAAAAAAAAGGAAGCCAAAATTGATATTGAAAATTTTTCTCCATGCCATCTGTTGCAAGATTTTTTTCTTTTTCTTTCTTTCTTTCTTTCTTTAAAACAATCAATGTTGTCCTATTTAATTCATAAAATTTGAACGGGAAATTTAATCTTGCACAAAATTTGAATAAAAATAAAACATTTATTTAAATTAACTCATGTACTTGAATATATTTTCTATTTAGATGAAATACTAAGTTCAAATAATAAAAAGAATAAAAAAAAATAAATGATACAAAAGGAATAATTTTAATAATTTAATTTTCAAATAATTTCAAAATAATTTTTGTTCAAATAATTTAAAAGAAAATTTAATTTCCTTGTTCAAAAATTTTAAATTTAACTAGATATTTTTATTAAAAATAATTTCAAATTTTGCTGTAATTTCCTTGTTCAAATAATTTCAAATTTTGCTGTAATTTCCTTGTTCAAATAATTTCAAATTTTGCTGTAATTTCCTTGTTCAAATAATTTCAAATTTTGCTGTAATTTATTTTAATACAAATTTTTGCTGTAATTATTTTCAAATAATTTAAAATTTTTTTTTTCAAATCTGAGCGTTTTGAGATAATTCTTTTCTTCTTTGTCCAAAGAACATTATTTTTTGTTAATAATTATGAAATAAAGGATTGTTTTTTTTTTCTTTCATGAACTAGAAAACTCAACCATATTAAACCAGTGGTTTTATTGAAATATTAAATTCTGTGGTAAATAGTCAAATGCTTTTAATCAAATGTCTTGAATCAGGTTGCACAGATTTTAGCACCCACGTGAATATAAAAACTTTTACACATGACAAATGATAAAATGCACTGGAAAATCTGCAACATGTTAAAGGAAAATAAAACAGCATTCCATTAATTCTTCCAAGACCCGGTGATTTAGATAGGACCTTATTATTTTATTTACTTCTATCTCTATTGGCAGAAAAATCAAAGAATTTGTGGAATGGAATTATTATTAATAATAATACAAACAAAAAAATTATCTCCTTATTGATATGGCAGTCCCTGCATGACTGCAATGTATCTTTGAAGATATTCAAAAAGTTGTTTTTACAAGGATCTTGAAATAGAAATCTCGAAAATGTGGCATATGGGAACATCAACAATCTCTGTTGTAGTTGGAGCCCTTGATTGGTTGGAAAAGATTCCAGTAGACTAATTGAAGGGATTTAAAAAGTCCATGCCTCAAGGAGATACAGAAAATTGTTCTTGACAAGTACAGCCCACACCTTACTTTAAGGGCTTTATGTCTTTTTTTTTTTTTTTTTTGTCAGTGGAAAATATTTTGACGCCATTTCTAACCTTAGGTTCCTTGGCGGGACCCGGAAAGAAATATGTACCAGAAATAAAAAAAAAATAATAATAATAGGAATCAAGAAGAAGAAAAGGAAGAAAAGATGCAGAAATAATAATGAAAAAATTATAAGATAAAAGAAGAAGAAAGAAGAAGAATGAAAAGAAGAAGAAAAGAAAGAACTTTAGAAATAATAATAAAAAATTATATGATAATAAAATAATAGGAAGAAAAAGAAAAAGAAGAATAATAATATTAATAAAATAATAAGAATTAAGAAGAAGAGGAAAGAAAAGGAAGTTCTTTTGAAGAAGAAGTTTTCAAAAAAAGAATGTTTAGAAATAAGAATAATAGGAACAAGAACAAAATAGAAAAATCTTCTTTTCAAGAACAAATTATATATTATATATATATATATATATATATATATATATGTGTGTGTGTGTGTGTGTGTTGTGTGTGTGTGTGTGTATATGTGTATAATTTCATTTGTGCTATATTATTTGGGATAATCTTTTCTGCTCAGTATCAGAGACAGAACATGTTTAAATATAAATATAAAATTATGAGCAATTTTATTTAAATAAAATTCCTGTTTCATGCTAGAACGCAATCATATATATATATATATATATATATATATATATATATATATATATATATATATATTTAGTAATTTTTTCTTTGCAGTAAAAATGTCGAAATCAAAAATTGACCTGAGGTCTCTGAAAATACCGGATGAAATTTTTAAACAACTTTAAATCAATAGGAAATAATAATAATAATAATAATAATAATAATAACAAGAAAAGAATAATAATAATTTTTTATTGACATTTAGTTTCTGCAGAAAAATTGAAAATCTTTGAATATCTTAAAAAAAAAACTATCAAAATGATAAGGATCTTGAATAAAAAAATCCTCAAATAAAATAATGACGGGCATTCATAATTCAGTTAATAACGACCCATGGATTGATTGGAAAAAAGGTTGATATAGGCCCATCTTTTCATGGTAGCCCATGCCTTTGAAATAAAAAAAAGTCAAAATGAATAATCATAATGCATGAATTAGAAGATTTTTATTTAATAAAATGTAGTGATCTAAGAAATTTTTGAAATGTGATAAAAATAGAAAGATGATGTCATTTCTGACCTTAGGTCTCTGGTTGGGACCAAAAATTGAAAACATCAAATATTAAAAAAAATAAAGAAATAATAATAAGAAATAAAATAATAATATCAAAATTTTTTTTTATAAAAATGTTTTGAAAATGTCATGATGCCAGGATGAAACGAAACAAAAAAAATTGGGGCCATTTTTGAAAATAATTGTACATCAAATATGAAAGGAAATAATTGGTTTGAAATAAAGTTAATAAAAAAAAAAAGAAAAAATTATTAATATTAAAATAATAATAAAGAAATTTAGAATAATTTAATAATTTATAATAATATATTTAATAAAAAAATAATAATAAAGATATCAATAGAAATAATATTAATATTATTATTATTTAATAATACATTTTTTTTCACATTTTATTTTAATTAATATATTCAGGTTAAAATTAATGGCAATTAATAAATTGTAATGAAAATAATAATAATAAAATTGAAATAAAATAATTGGTTGAAAAAAATAATAATAATAATAATAATAAAACCTTTATTATTAATAATTTAATATTTATAATAATATAGAACAATCAAAGCCAACCGTCCAATATTGTTATTAAAAACCACAAAAAAAAAACGGTGCCTCCTTATTGATATGGCAGTTCCTGCTGACTGCAATGTATCTTTGAAGATATTCAAAAGCTGTCAAAATACAAGGACCTTGAAATAGAAATCTCAAAAATGTGGCATATGGGAACATCAACAATCCCTGTTGTAGTTGGAGCCCTAGGATTGGTTGGAAAAGATTCCAGTAGATAATTGAAGGATTCCTGGAAGTCCATGCCTCAAAGAGATACAAAAATTGTTCTGACAAGTACAGTCCACACTTTACGAAGGGCTTTATCTATGTAATTTTTTTTTTTTTTGTCAGTGGAAAGTGTCATGATGCCATTTCTAACCTTAGGTCCCTGGGCGGGACCCGGAAAGAAATGTGTCAACGCCAGAAATCAAAGAAAATAATAATAATAATAATGGAAATTGTTATAATACAAAAAATTGTACTGACAAGTAAACCACATATATTACGAAGAGCTTTGTCCATGTAAAATGTTGTGTGGTTTTAGGTTGTCTTCTATTCTTTTTTACAAAAACTGATCAAGCCATTTCTGACCCTAGGTTTCTGGTTGGGACCTGAAAAGAAACGAATATCCACCAAATATCAGAGGAAATAATAATAATAATAATAATAATAATAATAATAATAATAATAATCTCATATTATTTTTTACAAAAATGATCAGTTGAAAATGCTATGAAGCCATTTCTGACGTTAGATCTCTGGTTGGGACCGGGAAGTAAATATGTATACAACAGAAAACAAAGGAAATAATAATAACAATAATAATCTTTTTATAATTCTACTTGTCATTGACTTAGTTCCTTTGTTAAGTTGGGAAAATAATCCATTAATAATGGACCATTCCGTTTTAAAAAAAAAACGCAAAAAAGACATATTAGGAAACATAACGTGATTTCTTATTGAGTTAAGCGAAGAAAGATTAAAGCCTGAAATTAAATCTTTGAGTGAAGTAAAATCAAAAATGATGGAAATTTATTACAGATAAAAATATCTTAACGGAAAATCAGAAGCAAAATCTTTGTGACAAAACAAGAAAGATTGGAAAAATTTAATTAAAGATGAGAAATAATCTTATTTGGCTAAAACAATAAAAAATAATCACATAAAATTATTCAAACATAGGACTAAGTCAATTTCAGTTTGTTTTTCTTTGTTTGTTAATTATGAATTTGGGATACAGTGCAAAATCCAGTTTCTATCGTTAATCTCCTCACAGGTGAAAGAAGATTGTTAAAAAAATGAAATTTTGTTAAAAGAATGTTATGTATAATCAATCCTAATTTATGGCAGAATGCTGAACAATTTCCTCCAGAAAAAATAAAACTTGATTGACAAAAATGAAAAAGTGTTGAACTGGAAATTATCAATATATTATAAAAGGAATGCTGGACAATTTCCTCATAGATGAAGAGAAGACTTGAGGTATTGAGAACATTTGGTACAGCATGCTGAACGCCTATTGTAATATCAATCCTCTTATAATAGTGAATACTGGACATTCTCTCACAGATGAAGAGAAGACTTGAGTCAACAGAAACAATGAAAAGAGTGTTGATTTGCTATGTAATATCAATCCTCTTTATATGGCAGTGAATTTTTTATTTCCTCACAGATGAAGAGAAGAACAAATAAAATCAGAAACAATGAAAGAGTGTTGAACTGTTATGTAATATCAATCCTCCTATATGGCAGTGAATGCTGGACAATTTCCTCATAGATGAAGAGAAGACTTGAGGTAACAGAAACAATGAAAAGAGTGCTGAACTGCTATGTAATATCAATCCTCCTATATGGCAGTGAATGCTGGACAATTTCCTCACAGATGAAGAGAAGACTTGAAAAACAGAAACAATGAAAAGAGTGCTGAACTGTTATGTAATATCAATCCTCCTATATGGCAGTGAATGCTGGACAATTTCCTCACAGATGAAGAGAAGACTTGAGGTAACAGAAACAATGAAAAAAGTACTGAACTGCTATGATAATATCGAGTATCCTCCTGATATGGCAGCTGAATGCTGGACATATCAATCCTCACAGATGAAGAGAAGACTTGAATGAGGAAACAGAAACAAAAAAATAGTGCTGAACTGCTATGTAATATCAATCCTCCTATATGGCAGTGAATGCTGGAAAATTTCCTCACAGATGAAGAGAAGACTTGAGGCAACAGAAACAATGAAAAAGATTACTGAACTGCTATGTAATATCAATCCTCCCTATATGGCAGTGAATGCTGGACAATTTCCTCACAGATGAAGAGAAGACTTGAGGCATGAGAAACAATGAAAAAGAGTACTGAACTGATATGTAATATCAATCCTCCCATATATGGCAGTGAATGCTGGACAATTTGATGATCACAGATGAAAGAAGAGACTTGAAACATAGAAACAAATAAAGATAATGAACTGATATGTAATATCAATCCTCCTATACTTTGAATGCTGGACAAAGAACCTTACAGAATGAAAGAAGACTTGAGGTAACAGAAACAATGAAAAAGTATTGAAATGCTAAAAAATAATTCCTCCTATATGGAGTGAATGCTGGACAATTTCTAGAAGATTTGAAAATGAGAAACAATGAAAAAGACTATGAACTGATATTAAAATCAATCCTATATATGGCAGTGAATGCTGGACAATCTCCTCACAGATGAAGAGAAGACTTGACAGCATGAGAAACAATGAAAAACTACTGAACTATTATGTAATATCAAAAATCCTATATGGCAGTGAATGCTGGACAAATTTCCTCACAGATGAAGAGAAACTTGAGGCAACAGAAACAATGGAAAAATGCTGAACTTTATGTAAATCAATCCTCCTATATGGCAGTGAATGTTGGAGAATTTCTCACAGATGAAGAGAAGACTTGAGGCAAGAGAAAACAATGAAAAGAGTTCTGAACTGTTATGTAATATCAATCATTCCTATATGGCAGTGAATGCTGGACAATATCTCTCACAGGAATTTTTACTTGAGGCAAAGAAACAATGAAAAAAATTACTGAACTGTTATGTAATATCAATCCTCCTATATGGCAGTGAATCTGGACAATTTCCTCACAGATGAAAGAAGAAGGCATGATAAACAATGAAATTGTACTGAAACTAGGATGTAATATCAATCCTCCTATAGGGCAGTGAATGCTGGACAATTTCCTCACAGATGAAGAGAAGACTTGAGGCAGAGAAACAATGAAAAGATACTGTTTGGAAACTATGTAATATCAATCCTCTTATATGGCAGTGAATGCTGGAGAATTTCCTCACAGATGAAAGAAGAGCACATTTAAACAGAAACAATGAAAACAGTGCTGAACTGCTATGTAATATCAATCCTCCTATATTCAAGTGAATGCTGGACAATTTCCTCACAGATGAAGAGAAGACTTGAGGCAACAGAAACAATGGAAAATCAATGAACTGAACTGTTATGTAATATCAATCCTCCTATATGGCAGTGAATGTTGGAGAATTTCCTCACAGATGAAGAGAAGACTTGAGGCAAGAGAAATTATCAAAAAAGAGTGCTGAACTGCTATGTAATATCAATCCTCCTATATGGCAGTGAATGCTGGACAATTTCCTCACAGATGAAGAGAAGACTTGAGGCAAGAGAAACAATGAAAAGAGTGCTGAAATTCTATGTAATATAAATCCACCTATATGGCAGTTAATGCTGGACAATTTTCTTACAGATGAAGAGTAACATTAATATAACATCAATGCTTCTATATGACAGTGTAAATTGGCATAAACTGTGCAAATTTTTAAAATTGGGCATATACTGTACTTTTTTTAAATATTGGGGATAAACTGTCTAGATTTCAAATTTGGGGTCAAAATGTCTACATTTTAAAATTGTGGATAAACTTTCCAGACTTCATGCTTTGTTCGCTTCTTATTCGTTTCAGTGTTGATGTAGAACAATATTTCATTGGTTTACATAAACAACCACTTTTGGAAGGTTAGAATTCAAATTAATGAAGATATGCGCATATCATAAAATTGACGTCATGTGTAAAACGTTTTCACAGAGCTTGATTGAATCGAAAAAGAAGTCATAAAATATTATTGCATTTATACGTCTTTTCTTCTTCGTTTTCTAATTATTATTATTATCATTATTATTAAATTTTATTATTATTATTATCTTATTTTATTATTATTTTTTACATTTTTTCCTAAATTTAAAGATCTAGATTTTTTTGTCTTGATATGATCTCATTCATATTTCATTAAAGATGAATTTACATATATTGAAGGGCTCTACTGGCGATCAAAAATTGGACTTTAATGTAGACATGATTTATCAGATTGATCAATAAAAAGTTTAATTTTCTGGTGAAGATATTTAAAAAGAAAAAACGCATTTTCCTTATCTTAATGGATATGGAGTTTAAAAAAAATTTTCGAATAAACAGTTATAGAAGAAAGTACCTATCGTTTCCATTTCCTTCTAAAATTCTGTGTTCTTTCTTTCTTTCTTTCTTTCTTTCTTTTTTTCTTTCTTTTGATGGCATTTTTCCCTTTTCTTTTTGAAATTTCCCTTTCCATTTTCAATCTTTTCTTTTTTCTTTTCTTTCTTTTTCTTTTTTTCGTCTATTTTTCTTTTTGTTCATTAGACCTTTTTAAAATTTTTCTGTTTAAACTTTTTTTTTATTCTTTTCTTTCTTATTTTGTTTAATTTCCTACTTTTCTTTTTCTCATTATACCTTTCTTTCTTTTTTTCTTTCTTTCTTTCTTTCTTTCTTTCTTTCTTTCTTTCTTTGGCATTTCCTACTTTTCTTTTTCTATCTTATAACTTTCTTAATTTCTTTCTAAATTTCTTTCTTTCATTAACTCGGTTTAATTGAAAAATTTAATTTTTGTTTGGCATTTCCTACATTTTTTTCTTTTAAACCTTTCTAATTCCTCATTGATTTTCTTTTTTCTTTTTATAAAGCATCCATCAACACCTTTTAAAATTCATAATTGACGATTCAAAAAAAAAAATCTTTTTTATATAAATAAAATGAAACCTTTTTCAATTTTATTTTTTATATATTATTATTTTACTTTTCTTTTATATATTATATATATATTTACTTTCTATATATATTTCTATTGTTTTATCTTATTTTTTATTTCTTTCTTTTTTATTTCTTATATATTTCTATGATATTTTAATAATTTTAAATTTCTCAGATATTCTTTCTTTATTTTTTTTTTCGAATTAAATTTAGTCTATTTCTTATATTTTGTTGAATAAGACGAAACCCTAAATAGCATTTCTAATTTTTTTTGATTTTTCTTTGATTTTATATTTTCAGAAGGTGGGTATAAATAGAATATATCTTTTTTTGTTTATTTCGTTAAATTTCGAATTTCTTTTAAATATATATTTCATTTATAAAATTTCTCATTAAACCTTTCTTTTAATTTTTTTTCTAAAACTTTTTTTCTTTCTTTACTGGCAAAATATAGTTTGTCAATATATATTATATATTTCTTTATAAATTTTTTTCTTTCTTTTTATAAGGTGTCTTCTTTCTTTCTAAATTTCATTTGGCATTTATATTTTTTTTTTCGTATTAAAATTTCTTCTTTTAATTTTTCATTCTTTCTTTTCTGGCATCTTTCTTTCAAACCTTTCTTTCTTTCTTTATTCATTTATACTTTTTTTCTAAAAATATACCTTACATATATTTAGAGAAATGATTTAGTCTTTCTTTCTCTTGGCATTTCCTGTTTTTTCTTTTCTCATTGTAATAATTTATTTTCAATTTTATATTTATTTATTTCTTTATTTGTATCGTTTCTGGAATAAAATTTCCTACTTTTCTTTCTCAGGGAGAAGATTCTTATATTTTTCTTTCTGACTTTATTTCTTTTGGGAAGATAAAGAAAAATTTTCTTTCTTATTTATATATTTCTTTGGCAAATTTTTTCTTTTTTCTGTATTAAATTTTTATATTTTTTCATTCTATATCTTTCTTTCCTTTTTTTGTTTTCTTAATTTTTATTTTTTTCTTTTTGTTTTTACTTTTTTTTGTTTTTTTTTCGTTTGAATTCTTTCTTTCTTTCTTTTTTTTTCTTATATTTCTTTCTTTGAAAATATCCTTTATATATCTTTATTTCATATATTTTCTTTCATATTTTTTTTTTCTTCACTTTTTTCCTGATTGTTTGTAAATTTCTTTTTTTTTTTTTTCTTTCTTTTCTTTCTTTTCTTTTCTTTCTGAAAAGATTTCTTTCTTAAACATTAAAAAACACATAAACATAAAAACACAAGTAAAAGAAAAACAAAACAAAACAAAACAAAAAAAAGACAAAAATTCAAAACGACTAGGCATCCAGCCTCCCCATCAAATGACTGACAGTCATCTTACTCAGCAAAACTAAAAAAAATTGAATTTTCCTATTGGAAGAATATACTTGGAATACATAAAATGACCAATACCGCCGTTCAACATTAGAAAAACTTGTATTAAAGCATTTTTGGCATGCTAAAGCCATTCACAAATGCCTATCAATGATGCGTGAAAAAAAAGCCGAGATTCCAATGTCGAACTTGAAGTTTTTTTTAAATTTCTATTTATTTATTTCTTAAAGATTACATGCTATGTCGAGATCGAACGCTCAGAATCAAAAATCGACTTTTGAGAGATAGAGAGATATGATATTCCTTTCATTTGTCATATATATTTTAAATCAATTTATTTATCCACGATTCTTTTAATGCTTCTTGGTAAACAAATACGAAACAGCTCACCCGTTACATATTCTACAAAAAAAGAAATAAAATACAAATTCAGGATTCTGAATGTTAATTACAAGGTTTTATATATATTCCTAATGAATTTTTGGCGTATACAAATCTTAAATCCTAATTGATCCCGTTTGTAAAACGAAAAAGATGAAATAGAACTTTTTTTTAATTTGTTGATTGAATGGTTTGTTTTTTACGGATTATCAACCCTTTCAGATTATTTAAAGCCAGAAAATATTTTTAGATTGTTAGAATTTTTTTGTTACAATAATGGTTTAGTGATTCAATGCTTTCTAATTAACCCATAGTTTTTAAATTTATTCATAAACCTTTCTCAAGGGTATTTATACATGAAAATAAGTTTTTTTTTTAAATGGGAATTTGAATTTGGTTCTTTAATTAACAATTCTGAGCCATTATCGATTGCACCACCCACACATCCAAGTTTACCGTCCCTGGTATTCTTAAACCGTCACTCATTCAAGTAGTGACCAAGATCGACGTTGCTTAATCGCGGTGATCGTACGGGAACCGGTGTCTCAACTTGACGTGGTCGTAAGCCTGGAATGAGGGTTAGTTGTATATCTGTCTACAACCAGTTCTTAGCCCTGAAGGCTAGAACTGAGGGAAATAACGAATTAGTTTTAAAAGCACTTTTCTTGGATTTTAATAGATGTTTGGAAACTTGCGATGTTTTTAATTATTAAATAATTCGGTAAATCATAAAAAATTAAAAACCCACAAGGATGCGTTTATAATATATATATATTAGAAATTTGAAATGGAAAACAGGGTAGCTCCCTGCCCATATATGGCAACAGATTCAAGTTTTCATCTAATCTATGCAAAAAATAATGTAGATGATAAAGGACGAGCCAGGTAGAATTTTGGAACGATATATGAATCAATTTTTCAAAAACAGCATATTTATGCGATTATTTGAATTCCATAAATGCTAAAAAATGGAAAAAAAACGGAAAGTTCATTGAAAAAGACAAAAAAATAAAATTGAATGATTTTGGAAATACAAAAACGGAAAATTTTTAAAATCCAGCAGAACTTTTTAAGATAGAAAAGGACGGTCAGATTTTGAGAGGACTGATAAGAGTTTATTAACAAAATAGTAAACGATGAGAAATAACTTATTATAAATATCTCTTAAACGGCTCTTTGATAAAAGAAAGTAAATGGTTAAAAAAATAACAAAACATATATATACATATATATATATATATATTAAACATATATATATATATATATGGATATAGATCCGACAGTATGAAGAAAAAATATACGGAAAAAAAACAAACAAAAATCCTTATATACAATTATGCTGTTTTAATGTAAATATGTCAACGTCGGACGTTTCGGTCTAATAAACCATCTTCAGGAAATATTCATAAATTATAACATTATCAATACAACATGACAAAGACGATGTACATAAGAACAAGACTTATCCAAACAAATAACTGAAAGTTTTATAAGATCAGCGCTCCGTTTAAAACATGGTCACATTATCATCACGTGGGCGACGCTGTGAAAACGACAACGCGTTACACAATGAAACTGTCACCACTTGGTGTTGATCTCAGTGTCCATTCTTATATATATATATATATACCTGAAAAATATATACATATATGCATATATAGATATAGAGAGAGCAATTATACATATATATATATGACTCATAATATCAATATTGTCTGCGCTTATAAATTAAAGTTATTCCTAACATCGCTTGAGAATGGAACGAGACTATGGATTTTAAGTTTAATTTTGAAACATGGAAATTCATATTTTTAAAAAGAAATAGAATCATATTTTAAATATAAATATTTATATATATATATATATATATATATATATATATATATATGTTTGTGTGTGTGTGTGTGTGTGGTGCAGTTCAATTTTATTGTAATGAATCATTCATATAAAAAATATTAATCTTTTTCAAAATTTATTCACATCCTCCTCCTCCCTTTCTACTATACTCAACGTCGTGCGCTTGTTTATTTTTTTAAATAATAATGTAGCGTTCATTAGTTTTTTTTGTTTTTTTTTAAACCGTTAATGTCTCTAGCTTTTTTGCTATACACGCGATCCTGTATTATACTCTATAACCAGAAGTCACAGGGTGTAATTGGCTCATATTTCTTTACAACTTTATATTCCTTGCCATTCCCGTTCGTGTCCATGCGCATCCAGAACCGGGAAGGGTCCGATGCACGCTCACAGAGAAAGGAAAGATGAAAATAAATGCTGCCTCGCGAAACGGGGCCTCGAGATCTATCTAAAAAAGAACTAACTGAATATCGGAGAGTTATCGTTATCGTTTACGCTATTGACATGCAGGCTATTGTCCTCACCTTTTTTTTTTTATTATCGTAACGTTTCGACCGTTGTGACCTCCGGCCTTCATCAGGAGTATGTCGATCCGGCTAACCTACAGCGAATTTCGAATTTAATCTAAGGGAGTAGAGTGTTCTCTATCCACTACCCATGTCTAGGGATATCGCGTCTACTTACTTTTAGTAATCTTCAATTATTGCTCGCCCCATTTCCACTGAGTTCAAGTTCAACGCCCTGTCCGGGGAATGAACTCACAATTACTGTCACTAAACACATTAAGCAACGCTTTAATCCACTTCAATTCACTGTGGAGAACTTGGAGCCTTAAACCTAACCTGACTGCTGATGGGTGATTTTTGCTGCTTGTCATGCTTCATTGCACTCCCGAAGCTTCTTTTTTGTTAAAGCTCCTGCTGCTTTTGAAGACCTGCTGTAATCTGTTTTTCTTTCTTAGTGAATCCCATATCGTATTTATTTCTATGGTAGGCCTGCTAAAGTCCTCTATCCTATGCGCTTATTCTTTCAGGCGTCTAACCCACTATGGTTCTTCTTTGTTTGGTATTTTCAGTTGTTTCGACAGGTACTGATGACTACCCTTTTCTCCGCAATATATATGATCGGCCATGCCCGATTTCATTGTCTCACCCCTCACTACGGCTTTTCGATGTTCCTTCGGCCTTACTTTTATTTGATGGATTGTTTCACCTTTATATTCCTTGCCACAACTGCAAAAAATAGAGTACTCAGAGTTCTTGGGTTTCACTAGTGTTGGGCATTACTCGGCAGAGATTTCTCTGCTGAGCGAAACTGTTCCTGAATATTGCCCTGATGTTGCATTGACCTCAGATCTCTTGAATCCTTTTCGATAAGACTTTAGCGTAAGGCAGACATACCCTGGCAATCCCCCTTGACTATCCTTTTTAGATTGCCTTTTTCATTAATCGATGTTACGCCTGCAGGGTTGTTTTTTTATTTTCCAAATAAGGTAAGTCAAAATATGTTAACATTTTGAAATTGTTTTCTGAAGGCATCCTGACAAAAATAATATGAGAGGAATCATTTATTCAGAGTTTACTGAAAAGTCTTCACCTGTTTACCAGTACGACTGATACACAAAAACCAACAATCAACAGTACAATTTAGTGCCTTGACACACAATTCACGGGGAATGTTTGATATTACACTTTTTATTCTGTCTTTGAATTCTTCGATGTTTCTAACTTTTATCATATTTATATATAAATTGAAATCACAGGCTGCGTTTGGCACAAATTTCTTTTACAACTCCAACGTTGACTGAAAATGTTTCCTTAAAAATCCTGCAAGTCTGTTTGCCACTGATAACATACCTCTACAAATCAGACGAGAAGGGTATTTCATCAGGATGGTGCACCGCCTTTTACTGGTTAAAGTGCTTGTCTCTGAGTTTTCAATTTTTCCCAAATCGTTGGATAGGTCGCAGCGGACTGATTTGACATGGCCACCAGATACCTCCTGCTATGATAAAGGATAATCTGTATGAGAAAAAAAGAAGAACTCAAAGACAGAATAAAAGGTGTAATATCAAATATTATGAGAAATGAAAAATAATGCATATAAATATAATAGTTGTTGATCTATGGAGAAATTATCAATGAGTTTTTGATATTAGAAGACTGTTCAGTCCTCTTGATAAATAAATTACAAAAGGAAATTTGAGAATTTAGGATAATTTTGACTAATCATTCTCATACTAGTGTTAACATAATTTTGACTCACCATATATATATATATATATATATATATATATATATATATATATATATATATATATTGTGTAATTTAGGCAGCAATTTTTCATTGATGCATGAAAATTAAATAATATAGACAAGTTTTTTGTGTATATGAGATTCAGAAAGGAAAAATCGACTAGTAGCATTCGTGACGTCATATATGACCACGCGAGTGTGAAAACGACAAAATTATTTGGGAAGCCGTTGGTATAAAAATAAAGGTATAGTTTTGTTAACAATTATAGGCATTTAAGAATATTTATTTGAAGATTTCATAGTTTATTTTCTTTAGGATTATTTTTCAACTATTTTTAATGTATAATTTGAAGTTTGTCGTTGCTTTGACATTTTTCATATACACAAAAACAGACTATCATTATTGTTTCGTCCGTGTATTGTTTGATATATTGAAATGTAATTGTCATCTTTGATAATGGCTTATGTAAGCCGAAAGCTTAGATTGGATTTAAACTTGTATCAATATGGTGATTTCCTTTCGTCTTTCAATGATAATGTTATTAAATTTATCAGATAATATGAAAGGAACTTACTTAAAATAAATAGACAAACTTGTCTATATTATTTAATGAAACATGCATCAATATATATATATATATATATATATATATATATATATATAAATATATATATTTAAATTTTAATAATATATATATAGAAATATATATATATTTTTAACTTCATATTTGAATGCAAATATATATGTTGTATATATATAACTTTAACTTTTTTTAATAATAATATAGAAATGATATGTGTGTATATATATATATATATATATATATATATATATATATATTTATATATTATATATATATATGGTATATATATATATTGGGATAGTCAGTAAAATATTTACAAATATCTTGTGGAAATGGCCTCCCAATGTCTGATATATTTTTGCAATGATGTCTTCTGTTACACGTGTACACACACATATACACATGGACATCATTTAATATATATATAATTTATTTTATTTAAAAAAATTTTAAAAAAAAAACATGTTGCCCCAATTTAAATTTATATCATATTTAACATTACTGTTTTAAATATAAATGTTATGGACAGTGGAATTATACATCAAATGTGTAATTATTTTACCTGGATATATATATATATATATATATATATATATATATATAAGTTTTGTGTTTCAAAAAATTTGATATCATTTCGCAATCTAAATTTTTTGTTAGATCTCCTTCAAATGACTTCAAATTTTAATAGCATTTTTATGTTTAATGTTTGTTTTATGTTTTTATGTCTCTATGTTTTTCTTTTTTGTCTTTTTATGTTCTTTAATTTTAATCTTTTCTTTCCAGGTATAAAAATGCCGTGTCTCAGGCGGTGCGCATATTGAACATTTGTGAAATCGTTCACATAATTCACATGCTTTTGAATTTCTCATTCAGATTTGGAAGAATAAATCTTATGATATTCAACATTAATACTTTTTAATTTCATTTGCCTTAATCATGTACTTTCTGTGATATTTACATCTCAAAAGATATCAAATTTTTGAAACATCCTGTATATATATATATATATATATATATATATATATATAGATATAGATATAGATATAGATCAATAGATAGAGATAAAGATTTGCTCAAAGTATTTAATCCAATTATTTCCTATTAATATAAAATATTAAAACTTGATCCACAAAAAGAGAGATCAAATATATTTATCATAAAGCATATGCTTCTAATTTGTTAAATGTATTTGCATTGAAAAAGAACCAGGGAGAATCTCCCAGGGACGAAATTTCATCTGAATAATAGGTGTTATTTCATTTCATTTTTTCTATCTATTCGTCTATATATCTATCTATCTATCTATCTATCTATCTATCTATCTGTGTGTGTTTTGTGTGTAAATATTCTTAGAGATTGGAATGTATTTTGGAAGTGAAAAAAAATAAAAAAGACAAGAAATCCAATCCACAAAATATTCTTAAAAAAAATTCTTTTCGAGGATGCTAAGCGAAGTAATCAAATGTCTAATGCATAAAATTTCAGTCAACCTGATGAATATTTATGAGCGTCTTTTAATTTAAAAAATTTGATAATCATTACATTTGCCTTGATAATATCCGTCAGAAGACGAAACGCGACAGCTAAGCATGGTTTTTACCTCTTGTCTTTTTTTCATATATATATATATATATATATATATATATATATATATATAATACCAGGTGGGTAAAATCCTTGGGTAAGTAATGCAACTAGATCTAGATCCAATTAATAAAAAAATTAAAACTGATCCATAGAAAAGAGATCAATATATTTATTATAAAGCATATAAAGTAATTTGTTAAATGAAATTTGCATTGAAAAGTCCCTGGGAGAATCTTAAAGGACGAAATTGTCATCTGAATGGGGTAATTTGGATTTCATTTTGTAATTCCACTTATAATAATATATATATATATATATATATATATATATATATATATATATATAATTTGTGTGTGTGTGTGTGGAATGTTCTCTGTAAACGAATGCGGGTAAATAAGATAAAATAGAGAAATAGAAAGGGATTGTGAATGAGTTAGGTTATCATTTGTAACAATACTTAAATTATCGCTCTCGTTTAACTCTTTCATATTGTTTGTCTCTTTCCGTTTATAATTGATTGTTCGAACTGGTATGTTGCCATTGGTTACGCATTGGTCACTAACGATGGTTGAACACCCTCATCGATGAACGGTCAAGTAAAAATAAAATTGCTGGAAATAATGTTCACAGTGTTGCCCCTGGTGTTTATAATGATTGGATACACGAACCAAGCAAGCCCGGAAGAATCACGCACGCATGCGTACGCCAACACAAAGGATACGGCGCTCATTAGAGACCGGAAATTAAATGTTTCTTTAGAGCGAAAATTTCTCTTCTTCCCCAACGTTGTTTGTTTGTTTGTTTGTTTGTTTCTTTCTTTTTTTCTTTCTTTCTTAATCCCTTCATGGGCCTTTCTTTCTTTCTTTCTTTCTTTCTTTCGTGTTCGTTCGTTCCTTCCTTGCTTCCATCTTTTTTCTTTCTTTTCATTTACGGATTCTATTTTCTCCGCTATCGACGCTTTCTTTCTTTCTTTCTTTCTTATTTTTTACCTTTTTCATTCCATCTATTTTCATATCCTTTACTTTATCACTTTTGTTTGATGTCCTTTTTCTTTTCTTCCTTCTTTATTTCTTAACCAATTATTCTTCACTTTTATTTTTCACTTTTTCATTTCTTTCTTTCTTATCAGTAATATTTCTCATTCCTCCCTTTTTATTTCTGTGAACATTCACTCCTTTTTACTTATTTTTATTCCTCTCTCAAATACTAATTTTTTTTTTTTTTTTTAAATATTTTCTGCCATTTTTTCTTCAATGTCTCTTTGATAATTCTTTTTTATATTCTTGCCTATTATTTTTGCTCTTTCATTCTTCCTTGACGTAATTTTCATCGCTTCTTTTTCTTCTTCTTATTTATCACAATATCTGTTTTCTTTCTTCCTTTTCTTCCCATGAGCATACAATTACTCTTTTCTTATATACTCAGTTTCTTTCTCTTTTTCATTCTTGCTTTTTTCGTTATGCATTCTTTCTTACTTTTTTCTTAATCACTCCACATTCTTTCTTTCTTTTTTCTCTGATACAGATTCTGTCTTTTACGTGATGCGTCTTCTCTTTCTTTCTTTCTTTCTTTCTTTCTTTCTTTCTCATTCGTTCTTTCTTTTTTCTTAATCCAACCATGGTGCTGGTTAGGTTCTTTCTTTCTCTCTTTCTTTTCTGTTATAAATTCTTTCTTCGCCGCAATGTATCCTTTCTTTCTTTGTTTCTTTACTACTATTACGGGTTCAGTCTTTGCTACATTTCTTTCTTTCTTTCTTTCTTTCTTTCTTTCTTTCTTTCTTTCTTTCTTTCTTTTCTGTTACGGATCCTTTCTTCTCCGCTATATATCCTTTCTTTCTTTCTTTCTTTCTTTCTTTCTTTCTTTCTTTCTTGCATATGCATTCCTTATGCTTCTTAGTTTCTTTCTTTGTTATTTTTACCTCCATTCAAAAATCATTTTTTATTTACATATTTTTATCTCTTTCTTTTTTCTTTCTTTTATTCTTATGTATTCCTTCTTATTTTTCTTAATCTCTCCCTACTTGTTGTCTCCTCCCTTTCTTTCTTTCTTTATTTTTCTTTCTTTCTTTCTTTCTTTCTTTCTTTCTTTCTTTCTTTCTTTCTTTCTTTCTGTTACGGATCCTTTCTTCTCCGCTATATATCCTTTCTTTCTTTCTTTCTTTCTTTCTTTCTTTCTTTCTCGGCTTACTTTGATGTGTGCTGTCACTGACAATCAAGTCCAGTTTACAGTAAAAGCCTCAACACATTAAACAATTACGTATTCCTTCAATAATCTTTCAAGTGAATTTCTGATTACTTAGGCTGATCGATCATTTTATCGATAGCCCTCTGAGGGCCGTCAACAGAAGGTTTGCACTGAATACAATATCAGTGGGCAACATTGATATTACTATTCTCTAAGTCCATATATATATATATATATATATATATATATATATATATATAGATAGATAGATAGATAGATAGATAGATAGATAGATCTACTAAACCGCAATGAAATGCATTTTAACTTAAAAAAGATGAAAAATTCCTAAGAAATCTCATAATTACTAATATATTCCCCAATGATCCCAATAAAAAAAATAAAACTAATTATATACTATACTAAATTTAATACAACTAACATAATCATACCCAATAACTATTCTCCGTCAACTTGTGTTTTGGGAAAACCAACATAGTATATCAATTTAAATGTCCTTTAGGAGATTGAATCTCTGATAAAAAAGTAAGTATATATGTTGGTTTCACGACCACAACATTATCAAGACGTTTCACACCCCTATTTGTTGGATAGAAGTTCTATTGTACAACATCTAAAAACACATCCCTGTCCATTATGGCAATAATATTTTACTTAATTGACTGTTTTAAAATAACTACAAAATAAAAAAAATGGTGAAAATTTTAATGTGAGATGAGAAAGAGAAGTGATGGTGAAAGAGAGGCGATGAGAAAGAGAGGAGATGAGAAAGAGAAGTGATGGTGAAAGAGAGGCGATGAGAAAGAGAGGAGATGAGAAAGAGAAGTGATGGTGAAAGAGCGATGTAAAGAGGATTCAAGATGGTGAAAGAGATACATTTTAAAATGAGAAAGAGAGGAGATGAAAAAGTGATGGTGAAAAAAAGGCGATGAAAGAGGAGATGAGAGACGTGATGGTGATTTTTTTTGCGATGAGAAATAGAGAATTTGTGAAAGAGAGGTGTTGGTGAAAGAGAAGAGGTAAGAAGAGGATTAGTTGAAAAAGAGAGGAGACGAGAAAGAGAAGTGATGGTGAAAGAGAGGAGACAAGAAAGGGAAGAGATGAGAAAGAGAGAAGATGAGAAAGTTAGGATATAGCAATGAGTGTCACTGACTGAGGCTTTTGAAAAAAAGATATCGGTCGATTCGAGACATGAAGAGGTTTGAGATCGAAATGATCGGGTAAGTATCCTCTCCGGAGTTTGTTTTCAAAAAAAAAGGGGGCGGTTATTTGGAAGGAGATATCCCAATTAAACTTCCTCTATTACCAATACAATCGGAACTGAATGAAAACTAAGGAAGCAAAGAATTTGACCGCTACGGGCTCGACGTGTGGCTTGAGGGGTGGTTGTTAAGAAAGACTTGGTTTAATGAAAGACGCCATGGCTGTGGTTCCACAATCATAATTGTATTCTTTATAATTGAATCATATCTGATAATGAGCGTTCGCCTAATAAACAGAGTTTGCCGGAAGAGACACGATAGGGCGTAGGGAAGATATGACATTGATTGATGCCACTTTTTTCTTTAGCAGAAAATACAACAAAGTGGCAAAGGGATATATATATATATATATATATATATATATATATATATATATATATATATATATATATATATATATATATAATTTGAACGACAAATACTTTAGGTACCTTTTCGGTCGTTGGCGATTGGGGAATACAAGTGAAGATATACTTAATAAAGTAAATGACAAAGGAAGGGTGGAATGCGGTTAAAAGAGAAATTTTAATTAGACCCCCCTTGTTCAATTTTAATTTTGCGTAATTTTGGCCGAAAGGTACCAAAGGTATGACGTCCGTGTTGTTGAAGGCTATATATCATTTCTTTGGGTACATGTCCCTTTTTGCGTACACACACACACACACACACACACACACACACACACACACACATATATATATATATATATATATTATAAATTAATTGATTTGAAATATGGTTTTTCCGGATATACAATGTAAAACCATGTTTTAAAAAAATGAAACATGGTTAGAAACTGTAATGAAAAAACGATCATATTTTAAATCAATTAATTTATAATATTAATGCTCTGAAATTTACATTGAGCACTATTTTGTAAAAATAAAAATATCTATAAGAACACCGGATTATATATCTTACTGTTCTTTCTTTTTATTTAAATACACACACACACACACACACACACACACACACACACACACACACACACACACACACATATATATATATATATATATATACAAGGTAACCAAAAAAGTTCTTCCGTTTTTTTGATTAGTCATTGAATGGAGTTGAAATATATACGAAATGCGTGTAGCAATTGTTTTCAAATTCGGACAGCCGGAAGTAGGAACATCAGACGTTATAAAAAAAACGCGCACCGTGCCCGGCCATCAGTTATAAGCCGGACAGCTGTGAGAAGGATGGAAGTGTCTAGAGATCTCGTTCGGGGCTGTTTTTTTTTACGACTTCAAAGTGGGCTTATCAGCAGCTGCATCAAGTCGCCGCATATGTCAAGCGTTTGGGGATAGTGCTGTGGATGAACGTACAGCAAGGCGTTGGTTTCGAAAATTCAAGTCGGGGATTTGTCTCTCCATGATTAGCCTCGCAGTGGACGACCACAGATCTTGAATGACAGAGTCCTGCAGGCGGCCATTGAAGAGGACAGTAGTCTAACGTGTGGTGAACTTGCAAGACAGTTCAACGTTTCCAATGAAACAGTTAGATTTCACCTGCACCGCCTAGTCAAGACGTACAAACTGAGCAAGTGGGTTCCGCAAACGCTGTTGGATGTTCACAAGGGACAATGAGTGTCAGCCTGCGTATCGCTGATTTCTCGCTACCGTACCGCATCCTTATTCAATCGAGTCCTTACCAGTGATGAAAAGTGGGTTCTGTACGAAACTCCCAATCGTTCCAGACATTGGTTGTCTCCTCAGGATGCTGTCCCTCACACCGCAAGACCGCCTATGCACCCACGCAAGATTATACATTTTGTGTCTGGTGGACAGGTCGTCAAGTGGTTCATTATGAACTGCTATGGGCCAAACGGTCACTGGAGACCTATAGCAGCAATTGAAACGTGTGCAACAGGCATTGCGCCAGAAGGAGCCAGCACTGGTGAATCGCAAAGGTGTGTTTTTCCTCCATGACAACGCCAGGCTGCATGTCGCGCGAGGGGTCAGGGTTACCATACAGCACCTTGGGGGGAAGACTTTGTGCCATCCACCTTATTCTCCTGACCTTGTGCCATCCGATTACCACCTCTTCCACTCCCTGGATAATCATCTTCATGGGAAATCCTTCACCAGTGAAGCGGACTTGAGCAAAGCCCTCACGGACTTCTTTGCGTCAACCCCCCCCCCGAGTTCTACCGCAAAGGGCATTGAACAGCTGGAGACACGTTGGCAGAAGGTGCTGGATGCCGATGGCGATTACTTTGAAGACTAAATATAAGTTACACATACTGTGAAGCGTTTTCTTTTTTCCCTTAAAAACGGTCAGAACTTTTTTGGTTACCTTTATATATATATAAATATATATATATATATATGAATAAAAAATTATACAATCTCAAATGTGTAAAAAAAAAATCTGTTGTGTGTGTGTGTGTGTTGTGTGTGTATTTCATGCGATGTTTTGTTTGTTTGTATTAAATTTTTTGTTAAAAATTTCTTGTGTTTGTCTTCTTTTTCTGGATATTTTTGGAAACGAATGTATATATATATATATATATATATATATATATATATATATATGATTGTGTGTGGAGGAGGAGACTTTCTGATATTATTGGACCAAATCGAGGTCAATTCCAGCGTGCGACACCTTTGCAAAGTGTCTGTATAAATTAAGGGTTGAAAAAAGTTTTGTTTTAAGTGAAATTTAAACAAATTTAATTTTCTTGATTCCGTCAATAGCTTTGCTAGCACGAATTACACAAGTCATTGTGGTAAAGGGCTTGATTTGCTGGCCTTGTTCAAATTGTTATTGGTCACATCTCTGACACAAACTGTACTTAAGGTCTGCTTAAGCACATAGTTCATTTAAGTATAAACCAGAAAGTTGGGTTCAGTGGGGCTGAATAAACTCAGATGCGCCTGAATTTAGCGTCTGCAATAGGGATTGGCTTGCCGCCCTAAAGTAAACGCGTATCCTCGGATAAAGTGGCCAGCTATTATTATGTGTGTGTCTGTATATGTGTGTGTGTAAAAATCAAGATTCCGTGTGAATAAAACTATTATCTATCTATCTATCTATCTATCTAGAATCTATCTATCTATGTGTGTTGTTGTGTATTGTGTGTCTGTGAATTTCTCTCAGAAAAATCTATATATATATATATATATGTGTGTGTGTGCGTATGAAATATCTCTCTCTCTATCTATCTATCTATTTTTTCTCTCTCTCTAATATATATATATATATATATATATATATATATATATATATATATATCATTCCAAGGTTGATTGAATAGAACCGACAACGTTCGTTTGTTCAAATTTTACAGTATTTTTATGATTTTTAGATAATAAGATGAGTATTGGGCCTCAAGTTGTGGATAAACTGTCCAAAGTTTAATTTTTTATTTTGTAAATACATTCGACAAAAAAATCATAAAGAACAGATGTGGTGTCTGTGTTAATTCTGGCCTTTTTAGTCTAATATTTCTGCCATTTGATATCTGTAAAAAGCCAACATTCCTACATATATATTATAAAAATCTTTTAATTTTGTCCGACAATTATTTTAAGACATTTTTATGTTTACTTACATTTTATTTTTATAGATACAAATATTTAAATAAATATAAGTAAAAAACAAAACGGTATTAAACAACATTTTACCAGTCTGAATGTCCGAGAAATTTTTATAGAAAATAGGAGTCCTCCCACAGGAATCGAAACCTGTACCCTATGAGGAAGTCAATAGCCTGACGTGCCTTAAACCGATCCGGCCACAAAATATGCAAAAAGGTTACAGCTCGATTTTACTGTCTTATTAAAAACATTAGTTATTATTAGTTTATGATAAACAGAGCATTTCTTAAATATTTTATGCATAAAAAATGTATAAACATCTAAATATATATATATATATATATATATAAAAAAATATACGGAAAAAAACAAACAAAAATCCTTAATATGCAATTATGCTCTTAAAATGTTAATATAATATCAACGTCGGAAATTTTCGGTTTAAAGACCATCTTCAGGGCATATTCATAAAACATAATTAACATTAGACTATATCTAAAATTCAACATGAAAAGACGATGGACATAAAATAAGCCTGATCAAAACAGATAACAAATTTTTTTTTGATCAGCGTTCTGCAAACAAAAATGATCATTTCGGCGTCACGTGGGCGATGTTGTGAAAAATATTCCTAAAAATATTGAATTTTTAAATGAAAAATGAAAAAAAAATTTTTCTAAAATTTATATGTCCTATAGATGGTCTACTTTTTTATTTAGAGTCTAATTTTTATATAAATCTCGGAGAATTATGTTTAAAGATATCTTTAATCATTTTAATGATGCAACGGTTCAAAGGTTAATAATAACAATATAACAATGTTGCTGTTAACAACTTTATATTCGACTCAGATGGTCGATTTCTACGTATTTATCAAACAGATTTTTTCCCAGGAAGAAAAGCCCTACACCAGCACATGAAATTTGATTATAGTGGTGATTTTCAAAATACAGAACCATCCACACTTTTAGAAGGACCGAATACTGAGACCTGGTGCACTGCGACCGGAAAGTTTTGAATTCAGATTTGTCATTCTCCTAGACCAGTTGCCAGCCAAGGCTATAGTTTTGCTAGGGATAAGAAGATATTAGCACGTAAGTGAATGTAATAGATTCAAATGATTTAACATTGAATAAATAAATAAATCGGCTCCACCGTGTTCCAATTCCCCCAATATATATATATATATATATATATATATATATATATATATATATAGACAGTGAATATATAATAAATACAATGTTAATTCAGAGCGAATAATTTACTTTAAAGACTATTTTAAGGCTCCATTTGTAATAATTTATTTCACCAGAGAATTTTATTTTTCTCTGGATCTTCATACTTCACTTTCAAAAGCTGAAACGAAAAATGAATTTAAAATTTACACTTTTGACGGGTAGTATCAAGCTTATATAACTTGACATAGAGGGTGGTGAGGGATGGTATGAGAGACATGGTATAGTTTAGAGAGAGAAGGGAGAGTTTTAAAATTTATTTTTATATTTCTTTTTATTATAATACTTAATATTGAGGAAGGGGTGGGTAAAGGTCAGGTATTGACCTAGTTAATTGGTCAACTCAACGGAAATGATATGTGGAAAGGGAAGGATAAAAAAAAAAAAAAAAAAGGGGGAAGTAAACAGAAAAGAGATGTACTTAGGGTTTTTGGAGGAAGAAGAGGGGTGGTATAGCTTTAACAGATTTTAACGTTTGATAGTAATTTAAATGTTTAAAAAACTCCACAAAGAAAATAAATTTAATGCTTGTTAGCAATTTAAATATTTAATTTAATGCTTGTTAGTAATTTAAATATTCAACTTCTATATATATATATAGCAATTTAAATATTCAATTTATATATATATATATATATATATATATTTATGATTTTAAATTATTTTTATTTTTTAATTGTTTAATATCTAAATGCTAATTATGGCCTATTTTTTTTAATATATTACTATTAAATATATATTCATGTTTTAATAAAACAAAAAAAGTAAAATAAAATATGAATATTCCCCAATCAAATATATCTTTTTTTAATTTTCTCTTTTTGACATACATATACAAACTACGCTTATATTAATTGCCAAATATGTTCTTAAAATTTTAGAATTTTTAAATTTTGTAGAACTGCAACTCTCTTCGAAGAACTGTTACTTTGTAGAAGACTCTCTGGCGTGGATGCTTACATGAAGGCAACAATCTTATATTCTGCAAGTCAAAAGCCAGTCGTTACTTTTCATACTTATTTTTATTTCACTTGTCAATTCATATACTATTTATATATATTATAATCACACATTATATTTATTCTAAGCATTTTAAAAAGAACCCTCTACCTTGAGTGGCTCTCAAGTCATGTATTACGTGAAATTTAGTTTTGAAGAAAAAGTTGAACTGTAAAAAGAACTGATACTATCCAGATCGCGTCAAGATGATGGCACTGGTACAGAGAGTTGGAGATTTCAGGAGTCTTGATGCCGTCCGATTCCAATGATTGCTTCCGGACAAGTCCGGCAAGAAGATGTGAATTAATTCATTATGGTCACAATAATAATTATGACAGAACAATTATTTAATAATTCAATGCGTTCAATTGTCCGCCATGGCGCAAGGCTTCTTTTACGCAAGCAATTCAACATTATCCTGACCTTTTGTCCATTATCTTTGTTTGACGCAAGATTGAAGATTTAATTACTGCTTACACCTTCATTTCCGTCGTTTGACAAGCGCCATTTTGACGAATGTCACCGATAGAGGGCAGCCCTGTCATTATGGACACGCATCTCTACAAGAGAACGAACTGATTTGTTGGTCACGGGAGAACATTTCAGTTAAAAATTGGCTTCGTTTGGGTAACTGGAGTAATCTGGAAAATTACGCGAATCGAAACTTTGTTAGTCATTCGCACTATGGCTGCGGGAGGAAAATCTTACAAACATCCATTAAGCGATTTTTGTGTTGAAGTCGGGCGTCCAGTGTTCGAAACCTGGAAAAATATAATCGGTCCAGTATGACTTTAACTAATTATGAACCAGTTTGATCAACATAATCATGAAACGACGGGAAGAAAGTAAGAAGAAAATAAATACTGTATTGGAATAAGAAAAAAAAGAAAAAAGAAAAGAAAGAAAGAAAGAAAAAAGAAAAAAAAAAAAAAAAAAAAAGAAGAATAAGACAAAAGAAAAAAGAAAGGAAATGGAAAATAGAAAAAGAAAAAAGGGAAACGCCAAACAGATAAATAAAGAGAGAAAGAGAGAAAAAAAGAAAAAAAGAAGGAGAGAGAAGAGAAAAGAAAAAAAAAAAAAAAAAAAAAAAATGAAAGAAAGAAAGAAAGAAACAAAAAAAAAAAAGAAAAAGAAAAGAAACGGGGAAAGAAAGAAAACGAAAATGGAAAAGAAAAAGAAAGAAAAAATAAAGAAAGAAAGAAAAGAAAGAAAGAAAGAAAGAAAGACGAAAACGCAAACAGATAAAGAAGCAAAGAGGAAGGAAAAAAAAAAAAGAAAAAAAAAAGAAAGAAAGAAATAATGAAATAAAGAAAGAAAAACGCCCCCAAAAAAAACGAAGAAAAGACACGGGGAAAAAGAAAAGAACGAAAATGGAAAAAAAAAAGAAAGACGGAAACGCCAAATAGATAAAGAAACAAAGAGAGAAGGAAAGAAAGAAAAAGAAAGAAAGAAAGGGAAGAATAAGAATAACTGTATAAGAAGGAAAGAAATGTATTTTTATACTTTCAAAGCGTTTTGTTTGGGTGTTCACTATTTGCCCATAGTTAGGACTCCAACAGGTGCTACTACCACAGGCCGGCGGTGGACCTGGGAAGAAAACCAATTAAGAGGTGTTTCAACACTCTTCAAAAGCTCCAATCTCCCGATCAGACACTGGTTTCCGGACGTAGTTTATCTTCATACCTAAGACTGGAAAGAGCGAATAACACGTACAGAAAAAGAAAGAATGAACGAACGAGGACTCAAGAGAGATAGAAAAAAAAAAAAAAAAAAAAAAAAAAAAAAACAAAAACAAACAAACAAAAAAAACCCGGCAAAATGAACGATAAAGGAAAAAGAAAGGCGACTTGGGAAAATGAAAAAGAGAGAATAGGCAAAAGAGACAGAGAAGAAAAATAAATAAGAAAGAAAATAAGGAAGGATGGAAAAGAAAGAAGAAAAACTAAATAAAACTGGACAGGAAAGAAAGAAAGAAAAGAAAAACTAAGAAAGAATCAGAGACAGGCATTGGTTTGGTTTCTTTTGTTTTACGGCATATCAACACCTCAATGGGTTATTTAATGCCAACAATCGTTTTGGGATAGGTTCGTATGAATAGAATATATATTCTTTGTAAGAAATCAATTTGTAGATCAGGTTTGGTTCCTTTTGTTTTACGGCATATCAACACATCAATGGGTTATTTAATGCCAACAATCGTTTTGGGATAGGTTCGTATGAATAGAATATGTATTCTTTGTAAGAAATCAATCTATAGATCAGGTTTCATTGACGCATTTTTGTAAAGTGGGTTTTGTCGAGTGTTTGGTTCGGTTTATTTTGTTTTACGGCATATCAACCTCAATGGGTTATTTAATGCAGACAACATTTTTAAGATAGATTCGTATGAATAGAATATGTATTCTTTGGTTTAGATTGGTTTGGTTTATTTTGTTTTACGGCATATCAACCTCAATGGGTTATTTAATGCCGACAAGATTTTTAGGATAGGTTCGTATGAATAGAATATATATTCTTTGTAAGAAATCAGTTGGTAGATCAGGTTTGGTTTCTTTTGTTTTACGGCATATCAACCTTAATGGGTTATTTAATGCCGACAATCGTTTTGGAATAGGTTCGTATGAATAGAATATGTATTCTTTGTAAGAAATCAGTTTGTAGATCAGATTTCATTGCCGTAATTTTGTGAAGAGGTTTTTTGTCGAGAATCAAATGTATTGCCGGTAATATTTTTTAACAAAAATGTATTGCTGGTAAATTTTTTCATGTTCTAAAAATGTATTCCTGGTAATATTATTTTTTTTTTCAAAAATGTATTGCTGATAATATTTTTTTCTCTAAAAATGTATTGCTGGTAATAATTAAAATATGCATTGCTGGTTGTTTTGCTATAAAAAACTATTTTACTCTTTCATTGTGTTTTCAGCCAAGTTTGGGGTGGGGGTTAACTATTTGCCCACAGTTGGGAACCTAATGGGTGCTACCACCTCGTGTCAGTCTGGACCTGAAAATAACAGCAATTAATAGGTGGTTCAACTACTCAAAACCTCCTGATCAGAAGCCTTGCTGCTGGATGTAGTTTATCGTTATACCCAGTATATTTGTATTTACCTGGATATTTGTGAAGAGAGATTGTTTTATCGATCATGTCATGCGAATATCCATGGCGTGCTCTCTTTATTTTTTTCCATTACAAATAGCAAAATATTTACCACTGATAAAGATTGTTCTATGTCGTTAATTTCTTTGATCAGCACCGTTTGTGAGCGCCAGGTCGGCACTTAAGTAGTAACGTCTGTATGAGACTGCCCTCAACGCAAGTGGGTGCCCTCAACTGCAGATAAATTATTGTCAGTCATATGTAGTCTTGCTAAATTTTGTTATATAAAATTGTATTGCTAGTGTTTTTACAATAAAAATTCAGTTTTATAATTTCATTTGTTTTATTTTTTTCAAGGGTTACCTATTTGCTCATAGCAGGAACACGAGCGTTGAACGGCATATCAAAATCTCTAATGCCGAAATCTAAATATTTTGAACGCAGTTTTATGGCTTGAACTACGGGTACGTATTCATAGTCATTTTGTTTAGCGGCATATCAACATCTCTATGGGTTATTTAATGCTGAAATCTAAATATTTTGAACACAATTTTATGGCTTCAACTAAATATATTTTGAACGCAATTGTATGCCTTCAACTACAGATAAAATGTATTGTTGGCCATTTAGTGGCATATCAACATCTCTATGGGTTATTTAAGGCCGAATATCTAAATATTTTGAACGCAGTTTTATGGCTTCAACTAAATATATTTTGAACGCAATTGTATGCCTTCAACTACAGACAAAATGTATTGTTGGTCATTTTGTTTAGCGGCATATCAACATCTCTATGGGTTATTTAATGCCGAAATCTAAATATTTTGAACACAATTTTATGGCTTCAACTAAATATATTTTGAACGCAATTGTATGCCTTCAACTACAGATAAAATGTATTGTTGGTTATTTTGTTTAGCGGCATATCAACATCTCTATGGGTTATTTAATGCTGAAATCTAAATATTTTGAACAATTTTATGGCTTCAACTAAATATAAACGCAATTGTATGCCTTCAACTACAGATAAAATGTATTGTTGGTTATTTTGTTTACGGCATATCAACATCTCTATGGATTATTTAAAAATCTAAATATTTTGAACAAAATTTTATACTCTCAGGGTAAAATATATGAATGCAGCTAATGTATACACCGGTACCTATAAAAAATCAATTTTTATTTACTATGGTTAAACTAAAGAATGTTTTGCTGCAGTAATCGGGTATTATGTACGCACTAATCGAATTTTGAGATATAACAATTTTAGCGCGCAAATCGAAAAGGCATGAACCGAATGCGCATTAATCGATGGATACCTGTGATTTGTAGAACGTAAAAGGTATTGCTGGTAATTTTATTATAAAAATGTATTGCTGGTCATTTTCTATAAAAATGAGTTGTTGGTTATTTTACCACAAAAATATACTTTTGATTAGGGAGTTCACTACTCTGGGACTCTAGCAGGTGCTACCAGCCCGGGCCAGGGTGGACCTGGGAATCACAGCAATTAAGAGGTGGTTCCACACCCATCAAAACCTCCAGTAATCCAATCAGCAGCCTTGCTGCCGGATGTAGTTTATCGTCATGCGCAGGACTAGAGTCTTCTGTCAGATAGCGAGTTTATTAAAGTACATTTAAAGTTGGGATTTTTTTAACGCTCCAATGGAAAGACAGAAAATTTCTGTCTCCCACGTTTTTAATGCTCCATTATAAAGACAGGGGGTGGGAGGTAGAGATAGAGAGAGACAGAGAGAAAATTAGAAGGTCTCTGTGGAAACTATAAAAGGTGAATTATCTCTCGTCTTTGTAACATGAAGTAGGCAATTCCCAATCAATTTCGAGGCTTGAGAAGTCAGTTATGTGCCATGCGTGATACATTTTTCTATTCGATACATGACTGACGAGGCAGATTTTTTTTCCCGCTGTAGGTTGCCATTTCTTTCTGCAGTAGACCAGTTTCCACCCAAGGTTATAGAACCCAGTCTGCCCTGCTATTTACCCATAGCTAGAGGGAGGTGGAGAAGAAGAGGATTCATACCTTTCCCAAGGGTATTAGCACGTCAGTCAGTCAGTCATGTGCCATGCGTGGTACACGCTTAGGCGATCATGTATCTTTCGATACATGACTGACGAGGTAGATTTTTTCTGCAGTAAGTTACCATTTTTTTTGGCAGTAGATAGAACCCGGTCTGTTCTCTGTCCTGCTATTTACCCATAGCTGGTGGGAGATGAGGATTCATACCTTACCCAATGGTATTAACACGTAAGTAAATGTAATAGATTTGACTGGGATTCGAACTCGGCTCTCCGATTCCTCAATCCGAGCCGCTATTCATTACTCAAGGACTCTAAATCGTTATATCTCATGGCTGCTGATAAACATACAGGCTTACCAACGATTTTTGTGCACACTTGTTTCTCGAAATCTTCAATTTTGCCGAATCAACAGAAATCACTTGATGATAATTCAATAATAAAGATATCGCTTATTAAATATGCATACATAAATTTTGAAGTAATTAAAGTTAAATTTTTATCAGATTAAATTAGAAATTGAAATTAAACAACTGTTTCTCATATTATAAACTCAAGTCAGACCTCAAGTGAAACTCGTATATACGATCCATCGCTAAAATTTCTGGAAAAATGGTCAGTTCCTCGTATAGTGCCAGTAATTACCTGATCCATCCTGCTATCCTCTACACTGGCAAGAGCTAGATCCGGCCGAAAATGGAGTACTGCTTGAAGGCACAAAATTTGGCCTCGCCTGAACTGCTCTTCGTGGCCAAGTCGATTAAGGCGTACCAGGCTTAACGATAGCTCCCTCTGCCCCGAGCGAAGCAGATTTAAATCCTGCTGGAAAGTGCAAAGTTATCCTTAATAAGATTTATCGGACATTCAGGACGGTAGACGAAAATAAACAAGTATACTGTTTAATAAATAAACAGGGCGTCTACTCAAATACGATTATCCACTAAAGCACTAAAAATGATAAAAACCCATACTTTTAATAAAACATCTATTCTCTCTCTCTCTCTCTCTCTATATATATATATATATATGTGTGTGTGTCTGTGTGTGTGTGTGTGTGTGTGTGTGCTTCATATATTATATAAAAAGTGAAGACAAAGATATGCTTTGTCTATTTTCTTGTTTTTAAAGCAATGGACATGTGGGAACATCATAAAGCTTTTGAAAATTACTGAATTTTTTCCTATTCTTGCAACCTTCGTCGGTGTTTGATATTGAATATTTTAACAGTGTTTAAAAAACAATTCAAAAAACACAATTCAATCGTTACGCCCCAACCTCCTGTTAAATAATAGTTTAGCAGACTACTATTTTTAGGAGGAATGATATCGCTTCGCGGACTTCCTGAGGTTGACCTTCGAGGTCAGATCGAAGACAAAATAAGGCCGGCGATTTTGATTGGATGAACTAGCATGGGAATGATAGTTTAGAGAAAGATTTTTCAATGAGTTGTTTCTTAACCGTTAAACAATGTAGACGTTTTATCTATCGTGTCTGAAATGGCTCCCCAGTAGAGGGGGAACGACCCCCACTGGTTAGATAGACCATGTGGACATAAACGTTAATAAAATAGTTAAGTTAAAATTCCTTGTGTTGAAGTTCTTTTATCTCTGGACTCAGAAAAAAATAAAACAAACTAGCGATTGCCGGCCAAGAGAGGACGGGATGGGACCACCCCCAGGTTTCAGTTTGGCGTCGATGACCAAGACCTCCCCAGTACTAGTGGACTATGGAACACTCCCAATTGAAAATTGCGCCACTGGGGTTTCTTCTTGGGTCAAAGCTGTCATGGAAACTTTCATCACTTCTCTGAAATATCAGTTGAAACCGCAATCCTCTCGATGGTTCACACCATCATGCTCTGTTGCATTAGGCGCACAGGAACCACTATTTCCGGCTATACCGGCGTGAAAGCTCACATCATAACAGGTGCCTGTTTGCTACTGCTCGTAACAAATGTAAGCGAGTCCCTGTTTGCTGAGAGAATGAAGCACTACATAGCCTCTAAAAACTTTGGCTCTCGTGACCACTGGCATCACTGTAATAGGGTACTAAATAAGTCCAAGGTCTCTATTCCCCCAATCTTCAATTGATTTGAGGTGTTATCATCCTCTGCTTATAAAGCTGTATGCTTTGCCTATAAATTCTCTTCAAACTCTACTCTTGACTCAGCTGGAGTATCTCTCCCTGACTTCCCACTTAGAACTGATTCTCTCTTGAGTGATATTCATACAGCACCTTTCATCGTTTCTGCTATCATCTCTAACCTTGATTCCCACAAAGCACATAGACCCAATGGCATCTCTGTAATAATCATTAATAACTGTTCTCCCGAACTAGATCCTGTTCTCTCTAAACTGTATAATAAATTCCCTACTGCCTCCTGTTTTCCTGCTGTTGTTCCAGTTTTTAAGAACTCTGGTGAACCATCTGACCTATCCAACTATTGCGCTATAAGACTTCTGCCTCGTTTTGGGAAACTTCTAGAGACCTAAATCAATGTTGAGCCTTTTCTCATTGCTCGTAAGTTTTCTATTCTTCCTCTCCTCACCCAATTTGCGATGTTAATATTCTCTGCTGATAAAGCAGATTTTTTTTGCCCATAAATTCTCCTCAAACTCTATTCTTGACTCACCTGGAGTATCCCTGCCTGACTTCCCACTTAGAACTGATTCTTTGTTGAGTGATATGCATATAACACCTTCCATCGTTTCTGCTATCATCTCTAACCTTGATCCCAACAAAGCATATGGACCCAATGCCATTCCTGTAATAGTCATTAAGAAGTATGCTCCCGAACTGCCCCCTGTTCTCTCTAAACTGTCTAATAAATGTCTCGTTTGATTTACTACTTGTTGAAAGTCATCATCTGTTGTTCTAGTTTTTAAGGTCTCTGGTGAACAATCCGAGCCATCCAGCTATCGGCCTATTTGCATTCTGCTTCTTTTTGGGGAAACTCCTCATCAATGCTGAATTGCTTTGTCATCTCTCATCACAGAGTCTTTTCATAGACAAGCAGTACGGCTTTCGCGTCTCCAGGTCAACTGCTGATGTACTAATGATAATTGCGGAAAGAGTCTATCATGGTCTCGATAAAAACGGTGAAGCACAGGATATAGCACTGGACGACTCGAAAGCCTTTGACAGGGCCTGGTATTCAGGTCTTCTCCAAGAGCTGAAAAGCTGCAATATCTCCAGGCACATTTTTGAGCTGATCCTTTCATTCCTATCTAATCCTGAAATGAAAATTATCCTGAACGGCCACTCGTCTTGATCCTAACGCTGGTGTACCCCAGGGCTCCATTCTTTGTCCTTTGCTGTTTTTAATCTTTATTAACGATCTTCCCGATGGCATCAGCTCTCAACTTGGCACCTACGCTAGCGACACTACCATTTACTTCCGCCTTCATAGTAAGGCTGATCAGTGAGACAAGGTCAAAATGGCAGCTAATGTACAAAAAGATCCTAGGACCGTCGTTATCTGGGGCAAAAGATGGCTTGTCAATTTTAACGCCTCCAAAACTAAACTTTTCTCCATTGACCATCTGAGTGACCCATCTTTGCCTTCCATAGGCATGGCTGATGCTGTCCTCCAAGAAAGTGATTCATTGCGTTTTCTCGGACTAACGTTCTCAACTGGAAAGACTATATTGAATCCATTGAGAGATCAGCTGTAAAGAAAGTCGGTTCACTGTGACGGGAGAGACAATTTTTCTCTCCGGAATCTATCTTGCATTCGTCCGTGCCATATATGGTGCTGCCATATATGGTCTGGTGCCCCTGCTATTTACCTTGAGCTTTTTGATAAGATTCAAAGAAGAATCAGCAATATTATTGGTCCTGATCTGGCGGTTCGGCTACAGTCACTTTCTCACCGCCGTACGCTTGCCTTTCTGTGCTTTTTTTATAAATACTTTCATGGTAACGGTTCGGACCTGCTCTTCGCCATGGTACCTCGACTGTATGAATTTAGAGCGCAATTCTAGACTGGCGTCGAGATCTCATGAAGTTACAGTTTCTTATCTCGCACTTCTCGCTTGTGTAATTTCCTCCGGCATCATGCTTTCCAACTAACTTGAATCTTTTTAAAATTTAAATGCAATGTCAATCGGTTGCTGTCTTCCTGGGTAGTCTTTTCCCTTTCTCTTCATTACTAATATTTCTGTTCCTATTTCCTCCACACTTTGTAACCCCTTGCGTACTAGTGGATGTACAGCCTTGCCTGGGGTCATACAGATTAAAAAAAAAAACAAAAAACAAAAAACACTGACGAAGGCTTTATTCTGTTCCCGACTGAATAGAAAACAGAAAAAATGTGAAAGAATCATATTTGCCATCATATATATATATATATATATATGTGTGTGTGTGTGTGTATGAAAAAAATAATTACAGTAATACAAAGTGGAGAGAAAAAGAGCGAGAGACAGAGAGAGAGGAAGACAGAAAGAGAGCGCGCAAGAGAGAAAACGAGAAAGAGAAAGGAAGTGAGAGAGAGGGAAAGATTGAGAAAGAGAAAATTGGAAATAAAGTGAGAAAAAGACAAAAATAGATAGAAAGAGAAAGAAAGAGACAGAAAGAGAGAAAGATGAACATTAACAGATAAAAGACATTTTTACTGGACCGCCATTTTGTTTATGTCCGGAGAACAATGTCTACGCGTGTGTGTGTAGAGACCGTAAAACCCCCGTATAAATGGAAAATTTATTACAGTGATAAAAGATAAAGCAATGAAGAGACATTTTGAAAAAAAAAAAAAAAAATGATTCAATAACTAAAATCAAAGTTCTGATTAATCAATGATACGGTTTTTGCTGTCTGTTTATCAAAGTGAATGCTGGGAATATTTTTCTGTCTGTTGCTTTTCTTATCTGCAATTGCAATACGAGCACACGAGACGCAAAGAATCAGACGTTGAACGAAGCCGATTTTCGCATGAAGAGGCATTTAGGAAGCTGTTAGCAAAGAACTAACTCAATACTATTTCTAACCTCAGCAAATTTATGCGACAGATATATCCAGAGACTGTTTTTTCCTGACAGAAAAGAAGGACGCAAGTTCGAAACTTGCATATTCTTTATTAAGTTTTATCGAGTGCGCAGCCCGGTAGATGTAATACACAGTATCCATTAAAAATAACGTTTGATGAAGTAAAAATGGCGGATTTAAAAAAAAAACGCTGAATTCTTTATATATATATATGAAGAAAATATCTGGAAAAACAAAACAAAAATCCTTAAAATGCGATTATGTTGTTTTAATATGAATGAAATGTCGACGTCTGACGTTTCGGTTTAATAACCTTCTTCAGGACAATATTCATTAAAAATACACACATATATATATATATGAAGAAAAATATACAGAAAAAAATCTTAATATGCAATTATGCTGTATTAATGTTAATATAAAGTCAACGTCGGACGTTTCGGTCTATTTTAGACCATCATCAGGACATATTCATTAAACATAATTAACATTAGAACATATAAAATTCAACATGAAAAGACGATGGACATAAGAGCACAACTAATCCAAACAGATAACTGAAGTTTTTATATAAGGTCAGCGTTCCGTTTAAATATGATCACGTTGTCGTCACGTGGGCGATGTTGTGAAAACGTATTCGAAAATGATTTCAAAATATTAAAATATTTAAATTATATAATTGAACTATTTTATATAAACAGTTCAAGAAATCCCTTGTATTTTCAACAAACAAAATTCGATTTTTTAATTTTTAATTTCGAATACGTATTTTGATATAATTTTCTTCAATATATATATATATATAAATATATATATATATATATATATATATATATATATAATAAATAGAACTTACGGTTACCTGTATTAATTTCAACAATATAATGGTGACGTAAGCTGCTAATGGGATCTAGGTTGAGTATCATTCGTCTTTGTATAGAAAATCCGAAAAATTTTTTAAGGTGCTGATGAAAAAATTAACAAAAATGGAAAATTTTAGAAAGCACTGCGAAGGATTCCTCGGTGATATGCAGTTGTTTTAGGTGACCCTCCTCTGCTCTGAGTTGGTTTTCTCCTGCACAGCTACGTCACAACAACACCTTTGTTCGTGGATTACTTGTCCGGTGTTTCGTGCTCAGTAAAGATGTTATTCATAATGTCAAAGTCTTGCAGATTAGCATAGGGGTAGTGAAAAGAAAAAAAAAGAAATTACGTCGATCAATATCACAAAGTCAAATTTGAATTATGGCACTTTGTGTCCTCCACATCTTTTGACTGAACGTTGAACCATCTGATGAATATTCATAAACATCCTCAAATTTAAAAGCTTTTATAAAGCAATGACACACTTGCTATTGTAAAACAAACCTTGACATTTGCCCTGATAAAGTCCCTCAGAGGACGAAACGCATCGGCTAAGAATAGTTTTTCCTCTGGCCCTTTTATTCATATATATATATATATATTAATCTGATTGACAATATTTTTTATAATTTTGTTCCAATTTTTTATTCCTTGAATTGAAATTAATCGACCGATTAAATGCACACACACACACACAACACACACACACACACACACACACACACACACAAAGAACACAAATTCATGATTTCGAAAGTTTTAACACTGCAAAAAACTGGGGATGGTAAATTTTTCCTTGAGCAAATTAATTCTTTATAGATTGGTTTGGCCTCAAAAATTTAAATCCAATCGATAATTTATGGTCAATCTGTAAGGATCGATTTCGTGGAATAGACATACGAAGTACTAACATATGCACTGGGTTAGGTTTCATTTGAAACATATGAAAAAAGAATAAATAATAATAGAATTATTTGTTTTGTTTCAATTAATTTGCACAAGGGTCTACATTTGGTGGGGACAGATTTTCCAGTTATAATATTAATAATTAAATATTTTAATTTTAAAGATTCTCCTGTTAAATTGGCAATGCTTTAGAAAACAATTTTATTCAAAGACTGAAAAATAAACTGTAATAAAAATTTTGATTTTAAAAAAAACAGGAATTTTTATTTTAAAAAAAAGTTTCTCATAACTTCCCCCAATATTACTTGTTTATTTGTTCGGTTTCCTAATCAATTAATAAATCTTAAAATTTCTTCATTCTAAATTTTTTTTTCTAAAAAAAGTGAAATTTTCAATTTGCCCATTTTATTATGATAAATAAAATGGGTCGCGACAAAAAAAAAAAAAAAATAAAAAAAATGAGGTCAAATGCATTAATATAAATGCTTATTTTACTAATAGGTAATCTCGGATTCAGTTTTATATGACAGGAATACGGTGATTTAATGAATATCGGCTTGGATTGAGGATTCGGAGAAAATGAATGATTTCACTCAGTCTAATCCATTACATTCAAGAATATTTACACCCTCGGGAAAGGTGTTAATTCTTTTTCCTGAATTCCAGCAATATTTAAATATATGAAGGACTGATTGGGTTTTATAGACCAGTAAATACGAATATATTCATGCAAATAGCGTGTATATATATATAATATATATATATATATAAAAACCCAACACCAATCCTTTATATAAAATCCTAAATCAAATCATTAAAATCTATAATTAAAATATGGCGTTATCTATCATAAACGAATTAGTACAAAAATTCTTTTAAATAACAATATTTTTTTTGATTAATATCCATAATATGGCTATAATAATTTCTAAAAGAAAATCAATAAATTTAAAAAACCCAAATTAAAGGTTTATAAATCTTTGAAAATGGAAAACAAAATAAAAAAAAAAAGAACAAAACTTTCCAGAGGGATTAATAACTCCCCATATAACCAAAATTAAAGAAACAGATTAGGACATAAATTCCTCACTCATTTAAAATTTCATTTGCAAAAATGAAAAATAAAAAAACTTTTTTATTTTAAATAAAAACACACTAAAATTAATTATAGCTGTACAAAAACTTAGAAAAAATCATTCAAATCTGAAATGACAAAAATTTTAATATCTTAAATAAATTTATTATAAAAAAAAACCAAAAAATTTAGACAATAGAAAAATTAAGATAAAAATAAAAATAAAAAAAAAACTATGTAATTGTCGAAACCCAAAAAATTGCCCACTACAAAATAAATGTTGCACTGAATCATTAGTATACCAATGCAATATCTCTTCGATTGAAAATCCTGATAACATAAAAATATATATAGGTTGCACTAGCCATAAAAATTCAAAAAAAGATTCAACCAACATCAAACTTCATTTAGAATAAATAAATATAAAAATCAAACATCTCTCTCAAAATATTTCTGGCATCTAAAAAGAATCAAATAAAACACCTACAGTAAAATGGAAGTTATTAAGAAGAGCTAGAATTTGTAGATCATTAATGATAGATTTTGTTGGTTTATATTTGTCCTCTATGTATACAAGATTAAAACTATATATTACTAAGTTTATAAAAAATAAAAATTTACTGAATCAGAGAAATGAAATAGCTATTATATGCCGTCATTGTCAAAAAAAATTTTAAATAATATAATAAAAAAAAAAAAAAAAAAAATGAATATTGGAATACATAAGGAAAAATGGCCTTTTTTTCTTGTTATTTAAAATTTAAAATTGTGGTTAAAACGTATTAAAACATAAACACCGGTTTAAAAAATTGTATTTAAGTTAAATAAAATGTATCCTAATAAAACACCTCTATAATAAATGTACTACAAAACTTGAATGAATTTAAATAAAACAAAATTTGAAAAATGAAATTATAACTAAAGCATTTAGATGATAAAAAAATGTATGACCCATTGTTTTTGTACATACATATGATTTTTATTACTCAGGTTAATATATTTAAAATAAATAATTTAATTAATTAATACATAAAGTTTACTAAATCTGAGAAATGACTTAGATAGTTTTGTAGTCTATTGCCATTTATATTACTTAAATATTTAAATATAAAGTTTAAAAATTGTAATTTATATATATACTTTGTTATGGAAAAATAATTATACTTACTATGAGTAATTATCCTTCTGTTATAAAGTAATATAGTCAATTAAAACTAATGAAAAATATTTTAAAATTTTAATGTGGTAATTTTAAAATTGTAATTAAAATTGTAGTTAAATAAAATGAATTCTAACCTGTTCTTGGTACATACATATGAAAACTTTATATACTTAGGTTATATATATTTAAAATAAATAAATAAATTAAGTAATAAATAAAGTTTACTAAATATGAGAAATGACTTGGCTAATTTTTAATAAGTTCCATATAATAATAAAAAAAATAATATTTTAAAATATAAAGGTTTAAAAATTGTAATTATATATACTTGGATATTGAAAAATAATTTTACTTACTATGAGTAATATTCCTTCTGTTATAAAGTAATATAGTCTAATATAACTAACAATGAAAATATTTCAAAAATTTATTTTAAAGTTTGTAATTTTAAAATTGAAACTAAAATTAAGATTAAATTGAATGAATTCTAACCTAAATTTCTTTTAAATAATACTACACGCACTAAAAAAAAAAAAAAAGCAAATATAGTAAAATAAAATTAATATGAAATGCCATAAGATGTAAGCTTTTGAATGACCC